ATAGAAAAGAATAATAACCTGAGCTACTTAAGAAATTGCCTTCCTCTACAAATTAATTTGATGGAAAATAAACCGGCTATTTTCACACTTCAGTTATGCTTTTGTAATTGTACCATAGACCAACATATCTTCTTTGGTACTAAAAATATGTTTTATTTATTGACTTGATTTATTAATTKAATCTATTTGTCCTTAATTCAGCAATGTAAGGTGGACAGCATCATGCCCACTGATTGTCAGGGCATCTRTTATATTTGTGTAGGAATTTCTATTTATTAATATGTAAAGAAACAAATGAGTTATTAGGAAATATCCATCAAATTTTATGCCAAAACCTTGAGAAACTAATTTTTATGATGTTGCACAAAGATTCCTAGAGGGCTAAATACTCTAGGCTAAAAATTTCCCTCCACAAGATATTCAGTAAAAACTTTCCRAAATTGTGGTTGTATTTTGTCTCCTGACAGAATGCCTGGAGGAAATTATTGGTTTTAATGTATGTGTAAATAAAGCTGAGAATAAGCRGAGCACATTTGGCAAGTTCTGAACAGCAGAAGGCTTACGTATTCTCCAGGTTGTATATTTTCAGGTAAATGTGAAGTTAGCATGGAACAGGGGGAACTATGGGGGGCCAGAAAAACCAGACGAATTGAGTAACAGCACCATTGCTAGAAAACCTCAATGCCCAGRGAGCCCACGATCAAATATTTATAGCCTTATGGACAACAAATACTCTGCAGGACAAGACTGCAAAGCAGTCCCATGCACAGGTACTCCTTTTGCTCTGCTTCTATCCCTTTCTTTCCCCATATCCTTTTTCAGAACACTTACTACACTGTCGGCATTATTACTGCCAATCTCCCTGCAAACTAGTAACATTGGGAATGTTTTTTAATGCCTTTTTATGGATTTCTTAATTGATTCAGTTTGTTCCTATTCAAATATTGTGATCACTTTAAATGCTGCAAATTTTGGGCAAGCATGACTTTTCAAKAATCTTTTTCAAATACATCATATCTAGAGATCAATAAATAAAAAATATTCAGAAATAATTTTGATTAATTTTTTGATTATTAGAACAGTTTTCACATTGTACTTCAACCACTATTTTAGGAGTTATTTATGTCAGGAAAAGGCTGCCCTATGAATAATTCTTTCGGTATTTCTGTGGATGCTGACTTCGAAGGCAACTGAAATGAAAGCAGCTCTTTTGAGGCTGTGGTACCCACTGCCAGGCAGACCTAGATTTGCCCAACACCGACAGCGATGCTGGAAAGGACAACTTGCARCCTCTTTCTGAGGATCACTGGTGGCAATGCTGGGAGACCTGCTTCTCAACTTTGTCCTGTAGCATTGCTACACAATGCTGATCTCCACAGGAATGTGGGAGAAATTTAACCCCCTGCAATAATACGCTATTCCTTGTATTAAATGTTTGGGGTTTTTTCCTCCTGGAGTTTGTTTGAGGGCCAAAAGGGCCGTGCTGTATTCTGAAGTGTGTTCTGATCCTGGTTAGTCAGCAGTTGGATAGAGCAACACACTCATTTACTGCTAGATAACAACCGTGCTTAATCATCTGTGAGACTATTAGGGGTTCTCTTGGTGTCTGCCTAACCAGCAGCTCTGCCTTTTATTGGGACACTTGTTCAGTTCAAAACCCAGTTTATTACTATTAAAGGAATTACCAACTCTTTCAAATATCCTCTGACTGCTTCCCTAGGATGCTCACTCATAGGGGGTCTTAGAAAATATAAAATCTGCTAAACAGTTGAGMCTTCATGCAAAGTTTTGATTGCAAACATCAAGAATCTTTGGAACCTCAGTTCTTTACACAATTAATCATGTAATTCATTACTTCACAACCTTGTATTTGGATTTCAAAGAAAACCCAACGCCATATTTATTTGTCTTACTGATTTTAAAAATCCCCCCACTCCACTTGAAAATACACTATCTSGTTTCCTAAATGTCAGTCAGGAGAACCATGGCATCAGCCTTCACTGCCTCTGTTCACTTGACAGTTGTATGTATCAGAAGAATGTGCTGTGGGTCTACCACAGTCCAATGTCAGATTYCACTTAGTAAATTGAAAAAAAACCCCAAACAATAAAACACTACAACCCAAACCAAATGAACAAACTCCCCCCACCATGAACAAACAAACCAAACAAAAATACCAAAAAAACCCAAACCATGAAATAAAAAGAACCCAAACCCTAATTGGATTGCAGCAAAACAAGTGATCCAGTTAGCTTCACGGCAGGACAAAAGCAAGCTGTATTAACTTGGGTATTTCTAAAGCCCAAGGCTTTTTGTGGTTTTAGTTTAGGACGTAGTCATCTGGGAACAAAAACCTGCATTCACATCACACACGTGCTGCAATCCAAGGAGCAGGACACAGCCTCATCCTGCTCTGCAATGAGCTGGGCAGGGCGCAGGGATTGGCAGCCACAGCACTGTTCACTGTCCACAGATCAGCCCCACACCCACATGGGCATCTACTGCATCAGAGTAGGGTACAGGGTCCTTTCTTTAACACCTTTTGATAATGTCTGTGCCTCTGAAGCTGAGCAAGTGTGACAAATGGTTGGGGGTTCAGACTTTTCTACATCAGTAGCCCTCCCCACCCCTCACTCCAGCCCACCCCAGCAAACAGAAATGCCCCATACCTGGAGAGGTTTCCATGCCTGAATTATTAAGAAAATAAGCATGATAATGAATAATCTATGTTAAGCATTTTCTTACCCTTTATTTTTTTCATTATGATCAGAAGAGGAATATGATTAACAGCAGTTTAAACTTTAGCAGTACAATTTCAGTATTAAATATAAAACTACACTGCAAGTTGATGTGTTTTAAAAATGGTTATGTATACTCTAGCCTTAAATTTATGTATCAAATACAAGTAACTCAATTGTTTCTTGCCTTGACAATTAACATATCTAACAGGTTTCAACAAGCCAGACATCCATCTTTTCCATTAAAAAAAATAAGCAAGCACACCAACTCTTATTCATAGCAAGGGGAGGAAAAGACAACACTTTCCTGAGTGTTGTGCAAATACCAGGTTCAAGAAAGTCAATTAAATAAATGTAATGATAAACCTAAAGCTAAGCTGGAGGACCTTTTGATTAACTTCATATTTCATATATTATTTGCATCAGTTGAGAGCAACATGAGTTACAGAACTTCCATGAAAACAAGCCACTTACAAGCAGGTGTTTAAGCTTGATCAGTTTATTAAAAGGATTATATGACACGGTTGCCTGCAATAGCAGGGGACTGGATCTGATGACCCAGGAAGTTCTTTCCAGTCCCATGTTTCTAAGCCATGCACCAAGTGTATCCAGCCCACACTTTCACATTTGGAAAAAGCCAAAGCCACACACACACACTCACAGGAAAAAAAATTTTAAAAAATTAAAAAAAKACCTTGATGACACCATTTCATTTTTCTAGTTATTCACTATGCAGAAGGGAACAGAGCTTAAGTCCTGTACAGAGGATACATTTACTCGAGGTTGATGTGGTACTGAAGTCAGTTAATAATTAGATACCTCCAGGCAGATTCAGTTACAGGGCATACCAACACTGCACACTGCCAGACAATTTCTAATCAAGCCAAGAACCTCTTGCAGGATGAGGTCTCTGCTAGCAAGCACTGAGCACACTGAGTAAGCTAAAAGCAGCTGTTCTTAGGTGAACTACCCTACCAACCATGAGTAATGACAGATAGATGGTAAAAAGCATTTACCTACTAGACAAGATCTCTGCACACCCAGGCAGAAGTAATTAGTTCAGAGCTGCAACCATCATTCCTACCTTGCCTGTCTCTTGAGTACATTCTCTTTAAAACCTGCTYTACAGAATCAGGGCAGCCATTCTCAAGCACTACTGAAGTAGCAGTTCAGAGCTGCTGTGCAAGACTCTGCTTTCAAATGGTTGTCAGACATTCCCATCATTGAGGCCAGTTTGCTAGGACAGCATTCACAGCCATGGCCATAAGCCGTTGCAACAAATAGATACCAAAGCAATTGCCTACATTCAGCCCATCTAACTTTTAGGCACTTGGTTAAGGTCTCTGGGCCCCTTGTCACCCAGAACTGCCCCCACCCCCCAGAGGAGAAAAAAAAAAAAATTGATCACTGAAGGCAGGTAGTCTCAATTGCCTTCTGGAGGTGTCTCTTGACCCTCCACTGAGCAAACCAAGTTCTTAACACATGCACCTCAGTTAGACAGGATGAATGGAGACTTGCATCTCTTCCTAGAGACAGTATCAATACTCTCCAAAACCAAATGCAATCAAGCAATTACGGTCTGCAACCCATTACATCTAGAAACAAAAACTTAGTCAGAAATTATGCTGTAGTCCCTCCCTCCCAAGCATAAAAGCCTTCCACATGGAGGCTCTGATTAAAAAAAAAAAATTAAAAAAGAGGAAAAATAAGCATTCTTCTTTCAGACAAAGAAGAGTGCACACGGCTGCTTTGCCACTCATTCATGGGGAAGCTGAAGGATCAGAGAACACTTATTCAGAGAACTGGAATGACTAAGCACTGCTAGTGCATGCAAAGCAGAAGTAACGATCATTTTTAAATTAACCCTAGTCCTCTTCTCCACCCCACAAAATTCATGCAAGTGTTTGAGAAGATAAGTCAAGACATAATAGCCCCAGTTTCCAAAAAARGSYTWRKTTKGKTTTTTTTTTAATACATATTGTAAAATGTCCTTTTGTTTTCTTTCTGCGGGTAGATAAATGCATTTTTGGCATGTTTGAGAATCACAGATATCTATGAAGTCCATGCTGTTGAAATTCTCCAACTAGATTTTATAACCTGTCAAAAAAAAAAATCATAAGCAACCTACACATGTTTCCCCAGTATTGACATGCATGCTCAGAGCTCTCCACTGTAGTGAAATGAGGTGTTACTTCTGTGCTGATAGTTGACGAGTCAGCATTACACGACTTTGAGACCAACTAAATTAACATTGTCGTAATATGAAAGGCAAGCACAAGTTCATTTATTTATAGCAAAGGTCTTGGGTTACAGGAGGTCAGTTCTTGCCATCTTGAAAAGATAGGGGACAACTTATTGCATACATGTGCATTATAATTTAGCAGCAAGTCATTCATAGAAACACTTCCCTCCTACTGCTTTTTTGGTTTATTATCTCAATTATATATATATATTTTAACTTTACAAAGCATTTAACACCACCTTTAAGTTAATGGTCTTTTATTGGAAAAAAAAGACTAGCATTTACAACTTGGAATGGACATAAATTGTAATATCTTGAACAGCAATGTTGATAGTTGTGCTGAAGTCCACAGGCTACTCCGCCAGCTCCAAGTCATGGTACAGAAGGTTTTAAAAATATGAGAGTCCAAAGATGCTCCCTTGGTGAAGGTTTCTTTTAAAAATTTTGTGAACGGTAACAGCCTGACACCCGTTTCACTATAGTGCAATGCAGACAATGTTAAACCAGTATTTTAACACAGACATGCCATCCATAGTTAAGATCATCGTATTTTTGGAGCACACTGCTACGTACAGGAGAACCATTCAACCTTTAGGGCTTTTTTAAGTTTTGCATCCTTCAACCATTTTGCTGCATACCATCCTGAGGTATAAACCAATTTTAAAGTAAACCAGCTATGACAATTTATACTACAAATTGAACTAGAATCCACTGTTGAACAGAAGAGTGGATCCTTTAGGTTTTTTTTTTCCTTTTAATACACGTCTGACTGTGCTCAATTGTCAAGCTGCATGCATGAAAAACTGGCCAGCCCAAACAGTGTAATAGTCATTAGCAAATGGAACTTTCGAGTTCACTAAGTGCTTCCTTTTTTTTTTTTATTTTCAAGGTAGTACAATTATTTATATTGTAAAACTGATGTTTAACTTTATCTTTTGGGGACAGGACCACCAACCATTACATGCAGTTTGTGGACAGAAGGTAATTTGACATTCAGTTTTGCTATACAGAAACAGAATGAATAAATGAACATTTTTTTGCAAGAGGTAAGTAAAAGATTCAATTTGATTCTTCTAGAGGAAAAAAGGTGTAAAGGAGGTCTCTTCACTTTGCAGTCATCATCTGTACGAATTCTGAAAAGACAAAAAGTCACTGTGATTTACTGTCTCCAGAGCAGAACTTCAAGTCAAAAGTGCCTTAAACCCAGCTGGCATAAAAACAGCACTTTTCACTCTAAGGTTTTACACACAGAAGTGGAAAAGCAATTAAACTAATGTCTCAAGTACTAAAAATTATTGCCATATGCATTAACAACAGGCTTTCCTCAGTCTGAATAATCGTTTTGAGTGAAGACAAGCATCTTTTTACCTTCATAGTTGACTTGCCCATCCCCATCAATGTCTGCTTCTCTGATCATTTCGTCTACTTCTTCATCTGTTAGCTTTTCTCCTAAGTTTGTCATAACATGGCGTAGTTCTGCTGCACTGATATAGCCGTTGCCATCCTATGAGAAAACAGTTGTACAATACCATGAACAACAATCCTTTTACTGACTAACTTGGAAACTAAACCTAGGTTTCCAGTAAGTGCTTCTGAGCCAGCCTTAAGGCACCTGGGGYAGATGTACAGGCCTGGCACAGTGCATTTACTGCAGTATGTACTAGTCCCGCTGCCTTCTGAAGCGTGCATGACACCACATCCTTCTATACAATTACTGTGCTGTAATAACAACTGCATGCCTGACTTGTAGTTGTGATAAGSTTGTTTTTAATGCTTTTAACGAGCTTTCAAAAATAAACACAGAAACAAAACCAAAAAGTTTTTGTTTAGTCTCTGCTGCCTAAGCAAGGCCAAAAAGAGACCCATTTCCCCACCAGCAAGAATGAAGTCAACTTCCTTGTTAACACTACCTCTACAACCAGACTGCAGGTGGTTATGTTAGGCTTCTCGGATAAGATGATACAGAACAAATCAAAGAAAGTATTTAAATTCTACTCATAAGGAATTCTGAGAAGTTTTATGGCAAATTTAAAAAGAGAAGAAAGAATGACATTTCTAAGCCAGYGTCCCCATTTGTAATACCCAAACCTGAAGTTCATCCTGAGCCACTTCAGAAATTCCACACACTGGAAAAATACACAGATGCCTGTCAGAGCAGGACATGGCCAACACCAGTAGAAAACCTACCTCAGTAGCTTTAAAACACTAACCTAGTCTGCATCAATACCCCCACATTTCTAGCAAAGTACTAGAGATTGACACTTTTTTCTATAGTAAAAAAAAAAAAAAAAAGTAGTAGCATGGTCTTCTTCCACACAGGCATGTGCATCAGCTTTGCAGCTACACCAGTCACTACTCAATTCTTGCGTAAAATCTGTCATACCCAAACAACCCAAAGAGGGGAACCCCTGTTCTAGAAAACTGAGATATGTCCAGGTATTCTTAAACTAGGTCAAGGAAGCTGAGYTCCTAAGTTTTCATGAAAGCAACCTCAAAATTCACATGTTGAAAACAGAACACGCAATACGTCGTGACCTTCTAAATAGTGGTGATGTCATCTTGACTTTGAAAGCTTCCATAAGGTAGTATAAAACCTTGTGCATCTATGCAAGTGTTTCCCCATCCCTTCCAAAGTCAAAAGGTACAGAAAAATCCCCCTCCTCTACTCACACATCTCAAAAAAACCCCACCCTCCAGCAAGCATTAAGTTCTGCTAATTTCTGTTTCTAAGGAAAGGCCAGGAAGTTTTCCTAAWGGATGAGCCTAAAGCTTAAATCTTGCTGTATTAAGCAGGTAGAACCAGGTTGCAACAGTCCTGGTTCTATTTTCAGAACAATCTCTGCTCTGTTTCCAATTCCTCTCCTTCTACTAGAGGAGTTTTTCTCCTTCTAGCCAAGAAGAAAAAACACTGAGGAAAATACAGACATCATTATTGCTTCTAAAGAATAGTACTTCTATTAGTACCTTGTCAAAGACTCGGAATGCCTCACGGATTTCTTCCTCGCTGTCTGTGTCCTTCATTTTTCTGGCCATCATGGTTAAAAATTCAGGGAAGTCGATAGTGCCATTGCCTTAATAAAAAGAAACTTCCAAAAATTAAACTTCCATGCTTTTTCTTCATTAACAACAACAACAAAAAGCTCACATTTAACTTATCCAGGAACAAGATTGACAGATCTTCTGTCAACTGTTCCTGTAGAAGAACTGGTACGTCTCCCCTAAATTGCTACCACTGCCTGTTTTGCTAGAAGAACAGCCACTTTGTTTTAGCACGAAATTGACTGCTGCCTTCTCTCCAGGTGAGGCCACACCATTTGCCACCCAAACTACAAATAAAATGTCAGTCTTGATGCTTCAAGGTTAACCAATAACGAGACTTGTCTTTACTTCAAATTGCTCCCACAAAATTAATCTTTTCATTCCCTTATAATATCTCARTTGCTGTGGGATACTCCAGGAAGAAAATGTATTGTAAAGCTGGCATTACAAGTCCAGGTCATCTAATATTTGGGAAAATTACATTTCACTAAACTGTTCACAGATTCCTTTTTTCTAAAAGTCAACCACCTTATCAACCAAAGTTGCACACCACAAAAGCAACACACCATTTTAAGGGGCAACAAGGATCTGAAAATTCCAGTGCTGCAAGAAAAGCTGCCTATATTTGTTATTACTGATAAGCTTAGCTGTAGGTGGTTCTAATGGGTATTTTACTGCAAAACTGAAAATCACTCCTGATCCAGGCCTCACCCCTAAGAGTAAGCTTTTCAAAGTAAGGATTTAAATTTCAGGCTGCTGAAAGCTAGGAGAAAAGTGCTATGGTGAAGAAACTAGATTTGCGTAGTCAAGATTCAGCTCTATATGCCAGAAAGGCACATTAAGTAGTTCAAAAAAAAACACATTAAAACAGTTCACTGTGCAACTAAGATCTACCCATTGATTTAAAGAAACATACAAATTTGTTGTGCAAATACAGCAAAGAAGCCAAAAAAACACAGTTTAAGAAAAACYTTGCATTCTAGGGATTCCAGCCTGAGACACACACAGCTATTTATCATCATGGCCAGCTTTACGTACCCAGTTAAATATGAATATAGGTATCATACTCTGCTTTGAAAAAAATCTTCAAGGAACATGTAGAAGAATAGCAAAGCATTCTGCTATAACCCAAATTGAAACAGTTGGGCAGGCACATATATCTGAAGTCCTCAGTTTCCACCTATTTTAGATCTACCAGAACAGCAACTGGTCTGCAGCCTAAAGAAGCCACAATACACAAACTCTACATGCCACTGYAGACCCTGAAGCTTTTCAGTTTCTSCAAAGACTTAGCAATTAAGGTCAACTTCCACTTTTAAGAAAGTAATTTCATTAATATAGCCTGATAATCCAGTAATTTATATTCTTTCCAATACATTTCCACTCTTCTTTTACAAAGTTACTATGTGAAAAATCACTATCACAACCAACATACAAGACCAAAGGCTTGACATCACTGAGCAGGGGGAAGATTTTTCTTTCTGTTTTTACTGTCAGCCTATGAGGAGTTCAAAAACACAATATGGAGCTAACTTTGCTGATGTACATTAAAAATAATTGTGTTAGCCTTGATATGAGATGGGCTTTCTGCCTTTGCCTCCAACAGCCCCTCTCCATCTATTAAGGATCTAATACATTAGATAGACTATATAGTCTCTKCCTGTTGTGCTGAACTTTCAAGAAYTGAAAATGCTATTCCAACTCGTAGCCTTAGACAAAACCACATTTACATTGGTAAAACTATCAAAGCCAACATGGGCTGACAAAACACAGTCAGAAAAGCTGGATGGAAAGACAGGTTAATGGCAGGTCAGGGCAAGTCAGATAGCAATAGGAAGCCTGTGACCCATAAAATATTAAAGACAAAGAGCATAACTTTGTCTCTGCCCATCGCCTGTTTTTGTCTCATGAATACTGCTATCATCTTTGACACCCTTCTGAGTTTAGACTTGATATATCAAGTATTTTGAAACTGCTTTAAGAGATTTATGTCACAATCTCTCCTATGCAGTTTAAGCCCAGGTGTGGAGGTCATATTAAAGATGATCACAGCACCTTCCCAACACTTACCATCGGCATCTACCTCGTTGATCATATCCTGCAATTCTGCTTCTGTTGGATTTTGACCCAGTGACCTCATGACAGTTCCCAGTTCTTTTGTTGTGATAGTACCATCACCATCTTTGTCAAATAGGGAAAAGGCTTCCTTGAATTCTAGAGGCAGAAACAGTCCCAGTGTTTAGAGACATCACCAGCACATGAAAACTGCAGACTAAAAATGCATTCCAGTGACAAAGCCATTTGACATTTCTAAGAAACATTTTTTCTTTTTATCTAACTGTCGCTGTATTGAGAGAATTAACACTCTCAAATACAAATAAAAAACTACTTACAGTACCAACACATAATTTGCACAGTACATTCAAACTTATTTCATGTGGCTATTATCTGCACTACAACTCTGTAATTCATTTCCATGCATCTGCATCTTGCCTGAGGCACAGTTGCTCTTTCAAACAGCAGCTGTTTGAAATAAGTGAAAGGAGCCACTGGGTTCCCTTTACAATTAACAAACTTAAAGGAACAAAAGTGTTGTCCTTTACAACTTATTTCTAAGTCAGCAGACAATAAGAATTAGTGTCAGCCACAAGTGGGAGACTGGTCTCCAGAAGGTCAAATAATGTTCCTTCTCCTCACCAGTCTGATTTACCAGTCTATTAAAAGTTTTATTTAAAAGACACTGGCTTGTAACATGTGCAATAAACCCATCTGAGGTTTATTTGTTGCAGTTTCACTTGTAGTTTATCTTCACACTATTAAAGAGTACCCAGGYCTGCTTTGACTTTAAGTAGTTCATTTGAGTCTAGCAATTATTCCTGTTTGCAAGAAATCTAGGAGGACTTGGCTCAAGTCTGAAAGTCTAAAAAAAAAAATCATTATCTGTAGTCCAAGGAATAAGCAGTCTAAATTAAGAGGCAATGAACCAGTAATCTTTCAGAATATTTTTGTCTGGGTTTTTTTTTTTTAGTTTGGGATTTTTTTTTGAATGCTTTTCAGAAGTGGTAGTACAGATTTTAAGTTGTCAAATATGTTKTTTTCCAGTATGCTTGAGATAATATATTTTCTTTTAGTCACAGGAGTTAGAAAAAAAAATTCTCATCAAAACACTTACCAGCAATCTGTTCTTCAGTCAGCTGATCAGCCTACACGAAGAATAGAACATTTTAGAATACTGTTTACCTCTAGTTGTGTCAAGCCATGAGGCACTTCCTTTAAATTTCAGCAGTCATTTATCATTACTTTCACAAAGTCACTTCCAAACACTGGAATTCTGCCTCTACCAGGAGACTCCACTCACSTACACCATACAGCTGTTTCCAAAAGCACACAGGCTAACTTGATTTGAAACGGCACATGAAGAAGCAAACACACCATCCTGCAACTTGGTGAATCCAATTTGGTCCACTGAAGGACACAGGGCAGGCTCCTTGCAATTCGTCAGAGAGGCATGAAATCCCTAATGCCATGTTGTTTGGGGTTTCACTTCATATGCCATTCCCAGAGGTGCAGCGCCCCAGCAGTGCGTGGGGGTGCCACCCACTGCTCCCGCCCTCCCCGCAGCAGCCACCAGCCCCTCTGCCAGCTCCACAGAAGRGGATCTGCTGCGATATTATGAATTACATCTTGGTATTAAGAGAGATTTTTGCCACCTCTGACAAATTTTCACACACTGTATTATTTTTCCATTCAACCAAGCAGCTTAAGGTGCCTCACCTTGACATGCAGGTTGTTTTACCTATAATTTAAGTGGCAAGATTTAAAATGCCTACTTATGACCTTCTGTACATCAAGTGGCCACTGTTGCATACAAAGGTATACAGCTCAGTGGGCAATCAAGACAGCTTTCAAGGGCTTAACTGTGATAGCCACATCCTTCCAGAAGCCTCTCCCTATGTACGGACAGAGCATCACAAAAAGCTCCACTGTTTGGACTCAAGGGAGCTAACTAGTTCTTTATGGGAAAACATGCCTTTTCCTAGCAAGGGAAAAAAAAAGATTTTATATGCCTCATCACAGATACTGAAGAATAAAAGATACTAATTGTTTTAAATACATTTTACTGGATTGTTTTTACTAACGCAACAGAAAATTTTGTAGGTCAGAAAAGGTAGGCAAACCCTTTTTGTCCTAAAATATTATTATTTAGTTATAAAACCCATCTAACTGCTGTGAAGAGCAACAAATACAACGGAGAATTAATCAGCCATAAAATGTTAAGCTTTTGCATATGGGAATAGGGTAGAGTTAAAAATCTGCTCTATATGTTRAGAGAAATACACAGATCTCATGTGTCATTAGGTGGGGAGTTTTGTTTGTTTAACATCTGTACGTAATGATTAAACAATTCCCCGTATGTGTTGGATGAGACAGAAAAGGGCAAAAATGCCAACAGTGAAAGACCACCTTCTTTAATAACATCAAAATGCTTGTGTTCAAAACCCAGTTCGATTTTCTGCATTCTTTGCGATTTTCCAGAAAATGCGAGGTTTCACTTAAAGATTATCTAAGGAATTTACATAACAGACTCAGTGCCCTGCAGAACAGGAAACAGAGCCACACCTTGGCAAAAAACCTCCTGCCCACAGCACCAGCTCTTGGCTCCATTAATCTGAGCTCGCTGAATGTTTCTAA